ACTGCATCCCAAAGGTTTAATTCTAAGCTGGTTTGATGAAACTGTGGGTACATTTCCCTACAGAAGCTACACAAAATAGTAAGGATCTCAGGTCAGTTGACCAAAGTTTAAAGTGCTTAATTTAGGATGTAAAATAGCCCCTCCCCTAACTGGAGGTTAAATTTTTGAAAAACCACTATGGTAAGAGAATTCTCAGTGGAAGAATCTATGGCCTTAGAGTCACAAGTGAACAGAAGCACTTGTAAGTATTTTTTATATTTGTTAAAATAAAAACAAGAATAATAAAATATTAGCAGCCTTATATGCATCTTAAATTCTTGTGAGTATACATAAGTAATGTCCAGTTACCAATCTTTGATCATGGAAATCTTGATTCCTTGTTCCTTTCCTGTATTATAAATTACATAGACATTTTGCTTTGTTGCAAAGTAAAAGAGGTGTGCATAATAAAAGACATTTTTCCCTTGGGTTTGGTCCATTTGAACATTTGATGCTTTTTGTATTTGTTTGCTTTTTAGTACAGTTGGAAAAAAAGTTACTGCCTTGGAAAATAAAAATGCTACCTTCTCAACGTACAAAATTCAAATACTTCAAGTATAAGGAAAGTAAAAATCAGTCCAATCTCACCATCTGGAAATAACAGCTGTGAACATTTGGGTGAACATCATTCTAGATATCTCTTTAGAATAAATTCCTAAAAGCAGAATTGTTAGGTAAAAAGTGTATGTGCCTTACTCCTTGATACTCATTGCCATACAGCCTCTGGAAAGGCCAAACTACTTCACACCCTCACCAACTGTGCCTTTCTTAGACTTTCTGCTGGACTTGCCCACAATCTACCCCTCTCCTCTCACTGGCTTCGGTCCCCTCCACATGGATTGTGGAAGGACAGCAGGATAGTGATTACGTCCAAGGGTTTACTTCCATCAGCTTCCTTTATCTCTCCCATGACTACACTGCTTAAGCCTCAAGCCCTTCTCCTTTAGATTTCTTCCCTTCCCCCACCTCAGCCTCCTTTTTCTAATTATCTCTGATAAGTCTGACTCATAATTCAAATTACCTCGAATGAAATTCTCATAATTGCTCACAAAGGCATGCAGAAGTAAAAATGCCTTAAAATAATCTTGGAGGGACAGGGAATATAAGAGAGAGAGAGAGAAAAGTGGAACAAAGTCACTATCCTGTCATATGATGAGAATTGAGATTTTAAGATAAATTATTCCTTAGGCCTACCATATAACTTTTGTGCACAAATATTGCTACAGGAGGTCACATTCAGAAAGATCTTTAATTGAGTTATGAAACTGAGTACTTACTGTATGTACACACTGTGTTTCAGGTTTGGGGCAGACAGAGATGAAGAGAAGAAGAAAAGATTTTTGTCTCTAAGAAGCTCCCATTCTGGCAGAAGAAACAGAGTTGTAAACAAATACTGTTCAGATAAGTGTACATGCTTTGATATAGGGTGGTAAGTGTTGTGATAAAGGTATGCCCTGAGTGCTATGTAAGCAGACTGGGTTAGGTTAGCCTGGGCAGAAGCAAAGACAGCTCCAAAGGAGAGATGGCATTTAAGTGTAGCTTTGAAGGATGAATGGTTTGCTGGGTGAAAAAGGACATTGCAGATAAAGCAATTAAGGAGGCACACAATGATAAACATTTACAGATATATGAGGATAGGAAACTGGTAGGAGGTGAGGCCAAAAAGATAAATTGAGGCCAGACTGAGATGGAGTTATCTTTCCATGCTAAGGGATTCAGACTTTATCTCAGCAATGAAGAGTTCTTAGAAGTTTTTCAGTAGGGAAGCATCATCATCAGATCTGAATTTTAGAAGGACAAACTGGTTGTGGGGAAGAAGATGAACTGGGGTGAAGACCAGTTACAAGGGATGGTGAAGATCATGCAGAAAATTGAAGGGACCCAAGAAACTGGATTTACTGACTCACTGGACATAGATATTGAAGGCAGTGGTGGAGACCAAAAGAACTTAAATGCTTACACTTAGGTACTGACCTGATGGTGAGACTATTCATGGAGACAGAGTTTATATGCAGAGAAGCAGAAGGCATGGAGAACAATATTCATTTCTGCATTGGACCTGCTGAGTTGAAGGGGCCTGTGAGACACCTAGGAAATGATGCCTAACAGAGAGCTGGCACTGAGGCCTCGTGCCCAGTTCCAGGGGATACTGTTCTAAAAAAATCATATAGATTTGCTAGTAAATTTGATTGGTGACAACCAGGAGAGGAAACTGGAATGATGGCTTAAAAGGAATCTGGGGAATACAGTTATTTATAAACCTAATAGAAGAAGAGCGTAGTGAGAGTATGCGGAAATCAGAGAAACAGGAGGCAAGCCTGGAGAGACTGGCTCATAAAAGGAACATGAGTGTAAAGGAGAAAACATGTCCCCTTCTTTGCCTTCCTCATTCCTTCCAATACTCACTGGGCTTAGGGAGTGGTTTCAGGAGCTGGAACAAGGATTCCAGTAAAGCGGGGATTGACAGTGAGAGACTGAGCAAGGGGAGAGTTCCTGGGGCCCCGGGGTAGGGATTACGCATCTGATCTGAGATTTCCTGCCAGTGCTAATACCAAGGAATACTTTTGCCCCTAAAAGGCTCTTGCTACCTTCTCTCTAGGTTCCAAGAGACTAATCTGTCCTTTCAATGTCACTTCTTATAGTTTCTACCCAGCCCTTAGCCCATGATAGAGGAGAACAAGTATTAACAGCCTCTCAATTCAGTATGCTTTTGAGCCAGGTACTGTGTTTGTTAAGATAGATAAGACACAGTTCCTGCTCAACGAGAGTTAGCAATCTAGTGATGGTGAGAGGAAGCAGGTAACTGCTATATAAAGGGTGTACTGTGAGTAAAGCAACAATAAACTGGAGAGTCATGAGAGAAAACTTACACCTTTCTTAAGCGGTTAAAAAATCTCTTCTTCCCATTTTCCAGGGAAGAAAGATATACATAGATGCTGATGATAAATCCTGGCACATAAAGATTTACGATGGATTAATTTACATCAATCAAAAAGGGTGAGAGGAGAGGGTATAGCTCAGTGGTAGAGAGTGTGCTTAGCATGCACGAGGTCCTGGATTCAATCCCCATGTATCTCCGTTAAATAAACAAACAAACCTAATTACCACCCCCAAATGTTATAAAAAATAAAATAAAATAAGGTGAAAGGGAAGAAGAGGAAAGAGGACCCTTCATAAATTTACCCTTTATTTTCAACTCTGGGGGTAGAGAGCAAGTAGTATAGGACAAACTATCTGCAATGTAAAATCAGCTGTGGATAGTCCATAAAGAGCCTTTCCCCACCACTAAATCTCTTTCTGATGACATATTTTCCCTCCCTCCTTCTAGTAAGAATATCCCCCTCTTCTAGTCAGAAGATAACCCTCTTTCTGGGTATAGTGGGATGGGTTACTACAGCCATCTCTATAGCTTTTTCCAAGATTGTCTGAACCACCATTTGTCAAAATCGTCAAGTGAAAAAAAAATATTAATATGTTCTATCTATAATCTGCGAAGAGATTATACACATCTGTATACATATATACGTGTGCATGTAATACATACGTGTGTGTTTTGGTTCCTCCTCTACCTTGACTATCTACCCAGATCCTTTTTCATCATTATGTGCAGTGCACCAAAAAGAAGTCTAAACGCCATTATTTCTTGTCAGAAGAGGAAACAAAAAAGTAACTTGATTGGTAAATAGAATTTGGATTGGAGCCCAGATCTTAAGAGATGTAAATTGGTGTTCTTTTCACAAGGCTGTACTCCACTCTTCCATCCAACCAGTCAGAAACACTGCCTACATCACCTTCCCTTTGCACACTTCTCACCTCAGATCTTCTTGTGGCTCCTTACTCATCTCCACTAACACCGAAATACTAAGGTCTATTCACCTACCAACCTCCCTCCTCTCTAAACACATCTTCCCCTTTACTTTTCACACACACTCATCATACTTGTCCTGTCTCGTTTGAACTTTGTACATGGATTTCTATGAAGAGACCATGCCATGAAGAGCAGAGGAATAAATCATTAAAAAAAAATCAGTCATGTTGTAATGCCCACTTTGCCTGTTACAATCTGTACAATGTTAGTCATGTTACTTAACGCTCTGTCTCATTTTTTCTCATCAGCAAACAGAAAGTAACGCCTAACTGAGTTTTAAAAGGTTCCTAGCATAAGTAAGGTGCTTAACACAGTGTCATGTATTTAAAAGGCACTAAATAAACGGTACCTATTTACTGTGAAAATAATACTTGTCTCACAGGACTGTCGTTCCTACACGCTGACACCGAAATAGTCCTTCAAAATATTTTAATTCCCCTCTCCCCCTATTCTTAAAACAACTTCCTACTTCTCACCAACAGAGATTCAGAAACAGGTTCAAGTCCAACAGTCACCTGCAAAAGTACTTGCACATTTACTAAAATCTCACCACTCACGCAAGGATAACACCTACTGAAAGCTTGCCAGGCATAATTTCTCTTCTTAACTTTAAGCCAATGGAAGAGAATAATCACAATTGCAAGTTTCCCCAAAGACATGTTCTATCATGCCACCAGATACAGCAAATACAGGTTGCTTTCCCTGTGTCAACTGGGTGTCCACGCGCATTTCAGTTACCGTAGGCTCGTTGCTCCGCAGCCAGAATAAATAAATTTGCTACACGAATCATAGAACTGACGTGGGGGAAAAAAAACTTCAAACAGTGTCCCATAAATCTCGAGGAGTGACTGCGAATAGATGCCACACAGTGACGTAATCTAGGCGATTGACAAATGAACACGTGTGTGTCTGCTCCTGTGGCAGTATGTCATTGTGTGTGCCCGTGTGTGTCCGCAGAACTGAAAGCACATTCCTGTGCACCGAGACTTGTATCTGAACAAGTCTGAACGCAGACTTGTATCCCTTTGAACCCGGTTGCGTAGCGAGTGAGAGACAGTGCGAACCCCCGCGGGGCTGTCCTCCAGGTGCTTACCTCTACGGATCAGCAGGTGGACGCTTCTGGGCGCCGCCATGTTGGCGTCGGTCACGTGGCCGCGAGCGCTCGCTTCTCGCCCCGCCCCTCCCGCTGGAGCCGTCCAGTCGCCGCCCTGCCGAAGACCCGAGGCGCCAAGGCCGCCCGAGGGGAGCGCGCGTGCGCGTCGGGGGCTGACTGCGGGAGCCCCGGCGGCTGAGCGGCTCCGGCACCGGGGCCAGCAGGGGAACCCGCGGCCGGCCGAGCGCGCTCCGGCGGCGAGAGGCGGGCTCCAGCCGCGGTTCGCGCGTTCGCTCTGAGCCCCCGCGCCCAGGTGGGATGGAAGAAGCCTGTCAGGTAAGCCTGGCATCCAATATTTGTAGCATCAGCATTTTGGTGCATGGAAACGTAAAGTTGGGAGGAAAAAAATAAAGCACAATTTAGTGTTCCACATAGTACTTTGCATCGTCTGCCACTTTGTTGCAAATTATTTCCCTGGATTCCGTTGAAAGGTAAAATTTGGTTCAAAGTCACCAGCTGCCCCGTTGCTGTCCCAGAATCTACATTACTCAGCAGAGAAAAGAAATAAAACAGGATCTATGTGCAGCTGCAAAATCTATTCTGGGTACCACAGTGGTTATTATCTTCAAGGGACTTCTCTTTCTCCAAGGACACCTCGCGCTCAGCCGTATTAAGTAGTCTTAACCCTAAATTTGACTTTTAAGAATGAGAGGATGACGTCTGCCAATTGCTCTGCCAAACGAGGAAGCCTACGGAAGGCCAATTATGAGTCAAGTGAGGGAGCTGATGTATCCCTAGTGATGACGGTGCCCATTTTTTTTACTAAATTCCCTGTTCTTATCTGCGTTCTGGGGCAGATTTCCATCCTATCATGGACCAGCTATTATCCATTTTGGTAGCCTGGTACCCAGCAAAAAGCCTGATAATCAAGGAATGTCTGGTGAAGGAATTGAACTCTCCGTGGACCCAGTCAAAGCAAGAATGTAACAGTTTCCTGGACTTTACATGCAGTAACGATTGATAAGGATTCTTGGTGAATGTGTGTGATGTCTCCTAATTAATTTTTAAGAATTTAATTTAACTACACACTCAGTGAAAAACCCAGACAATTCAGAAATGAGTAAAGAAAAAATGCTTAAGTCCCCTTCCTCACCTGCTCTACACACCGCAATCCTACTCTTCAGCCAACCACTGTGTGCGTCATTCCATGCCTTTTACAGGCAAATATGTATAAATCTTTTAAGTAGAATCACATACTCACTGTTACAACTTGCTTTTTCCACTCATCAAAAACATCAAATCTCAGAACACTTGGCTAGAGCTCATTAATTTTAATGACTACATAGTCCTGATATTTTTACTTTTAAAGAGAGTGAATTTGGATAGTTCATTAGAGGACACATCTGTTTCTTGGAGACCCAGTTTTGTATGCTTTTGGGTTACCTCAAAAGAAAGAGAGGAAAAAATGTTTTCCACTGAGGTAAATAAGATGTACAAGGATGAGAAAGTACTCTTTCTGGTTATTTCAAGCCCCACCTTTTCAAACACAGGTCAGTTCCACAGAAAGAGTTTTTTAACTCCTCCGTGTAACTGAAGCCAACAATCTGAGTGTAGAAAAGGAGCCTGAGAGTCAGCAGAGCACAGAGTGTCAGGAATTGTGCAGAGAAAAGAAACCTTGAAGTCCCTAGAGAAATGTCAGAAAGCAGGTAAGCCCAATTTCAAACACATCTGAAACAGAACACATGTTCATGTGATTCAGTTCAGCCAATCCTTGGAAAACAAATGCACGATTTATTCCCCTGCAACTAGAAGGGAAAGGAAAAGGAAACACTGTGAGGACTCAGGTGGCACCCACATAGTGGAATGCAGTGAGGAAATCCCCACTAAGTTCAGCACAGAATGTAGATAGCTAGGATGAGCTAGAAGTAAAGCAGATGTGAACATGCACAGGTGATAGCTTGTCCACTGATCCTTGACTTAGCATCTTTCATCACACCCTTCTGCCATTAGAAAGATTAAGAACTGCCAGCATGTGTCCTCCAAAATCATCCATGTATGATACATATGCATCCTGACCCACAGGATAGAGGGCTAGACCTCTGACATCTAAGGATCCCTGACAATCTAGCATCTGTGATCCTGGGTTTTCAGGGCACTAGATTGCTTTCACTTAGGTGAGTAACCATTACTGACTCACTTCTCTACTCCATTTCTGCCCACTTGTGAAATGAAGGTTCATTATATTGTGGCACTTCACCGATTTGAACTCCCACCATTATTCAGATTGTGTACTTGTGTTTCCTGAATTAAAAGTTGAATGATTTTTCAAAACCAGGGTTCAAGAAATAAAGGATAACTTCTTAATACCTTCAGTTTCTGTGTCCAAAAACTCCTTCTTCAATGTTGAAGTATTTGTATTAATTGTGATCATTGTTTTATAGATTTTTACCTTGGTTTTTAAAAGATCGTGTTATTAGCATTTTTTAAAATCTTTTAATCTTTCATTAAAGAAATAAATCAGAAAGAGATTCTGATATTCTCATTTTTGAAAAGTCAGCTTTTCCTTCTTCCTTCCACATGATATTTTATTATAGACTTATACTACAGAACTTTTTCAAAAGCTGTATATAGTTTGTGATAAAGTTGAAATGATACCAGTTTCTGTAGTGTAGATATTGAATGTTTGTAATTTAAATTCACATTTTAAAATGCTCTGGGGATTATGCTACATGAAATAAATCCCTTTAAAACTAAATTTTGCTTTATAATACATCATCCTGAAACTTGTTTCACAAGTTTAGATTTTTTAAATGCTTACAAAGATTACTTGTAATTCAAGATGCTTAAAAAGTAGACTGTAAAAGAAAGACTAAGGTACTTACATATCTATAGAAGAAAGTTATTACGTATGAATACAAAAGACTAACTGAAATAATGTATTTCCTGCTGGGCACAGGGCAGGTTCTGTGGCCTGCGGTGGGGCGGAGAGGAGGGTAGGGAGGGAAGGGGAGGGGGGAACTGGTGCCCTGGGGCCTGCCTGGCTTTCATGGGGCTTGCCTTTAAGTCAGGTACCTTCATGCCTTCATTCTCCCTTCCTGAACTTGCTCCTTAGTTTTGCCATCTGAATCAGAAAACTTAGCGCTTTGATTTGATTTCAGGAACGTTTCTTAGCATTCTACTCTATGGCTTAAGAAGATTTCCAAAACTACCTTGCAGATTGTTCACTTTTAGTATGAGGAAATACTTTTATTTATTTACACTTTTTAAGTCAAATGAACATTCTTTCTGCATAAACATAATCTGCTTGTATAACAGGGACCTGTCTCAGTAGCTGATTGGACTCCTGGAAAGTTAGGGTCCAGCTTCAAATGATTGTATGTTCAGGCAGAAAGTTTCTAGGGCATTCTCTTAGCCAGCTTGCTGGCAGAATATCATTTCCTGTTATTTCCTATACCAGTCACTTGATACAACAATGGATGTGTTACTGGATAATCCTGGGGGAACCTTAGAGAAAATGTGTCAGTGCTCTGTGTTTTTTTGAGGAAAAGTAATGTCATATTCGAGGCAGTTGTGAGAAATCGAGGGACTTTCTCCTCACGGCTTGTGCCCCGTTTCCTTCGTCTCTAGCAGTGCCAGGAAGCCAGGAGGCAGGGGAAGGGGGATTTAATTGTAGGTGACCCTCCTGCCCCTCCTATTTTTGATTTGTATAATGACATTTTTCTGGCCCTTATAATTGCTAGGCAAAGGAAACTTTTAAGTCCCACCCCCTTCTAACAAGATTGCCCTACGTGAGCCCCTTCTTGCATTGAAAGTCTGAAGATTTCATGGATGTACAGCCATTTATAAACCTAATCCAAGTGGGCTCAGCTAATAGCCTGTTGCGCCCTCCTGAGCAGCCTGCAGTGTAATTAAGCAGAGTAGAATGCGACCGGAGAGGGCTAACTTAGCTGTAGAGTAAGACCAAAACTTTGTCCCATGGGAGTTGTTGCTCTCAGGCCTGGTCTGGCCTGCATTCATTTCAAGCTGGTCCAGCCTGTTGGCTTGAAAGATATGGGAGATTTGTAAGCAGAAATAGTGCTTCAGCCTAACAGCCTGTCCATTGTTGGAGCAGCAGCCCACTTGGTATGGTGGCAGGGGCCAAGGAGGGAAGGTGTGGGAAGGCTGCAAGAAAGAGGATAAGGGTGGTCGCAGACCTTACTCCCTGATGCATCTGAGTTTTATCTTTTTATTTTTTAATTTTAAACATTGAGGTATAATTGATTTATGATATCATTAGTTGCAAGGGCACAACATAATGATTCAAATTTTTTATAGACTATACTCCATTTATAGTTATTAGAAAAGATTGGCTGTATTCCCTGTGCGGTACAATATACCCTTGTAGCTTATTTATTTTGTAAATAGTTTTGTGCCTTTTAACCTCCTACCCCTCTCTTGCCCCGCCCCACTTCCGTCTCCTCATTGGTGACCACTAGTTTGTTCTCCATATCTGTCAGTCTCCTTTTTGTTATACTCACTAGTTTGTTGTATGTTTTAGATTCCAAATATAAGATAAAACATACAGGATTTGCCTTTGTCTGATTTATTTCACTAAGCATAATATCCTCCCGGTCCACCCATTGTTACAAATGACAAATTTTCATTATTTTTATGACTAAATAGTATTCCATTGTATATATATATGCTGCATCTTCTTTATCCATTTATCTGTTGATGGACACTTAGGTTGCTTCCTATCTTGTCAATTATAAATAATGCTGCTATGAACATTGGGGTGCTTGTATCATTTTGGATTAATGTTTTGGTTTTCTTTGGGTATATACCCAGGAGTGAATTGCTGGGTCATATGGTAGTTTTGTTTTTGGTTTTCTGAGGAAACTCCACACTGTCTTCCACAGTGGCTGCTGAGTTTTATCTTGAGGGACAAGGCTTCCTAGACCTCATTTCTTAAAACCGGCTCTGAGGGAAGTTGGGTTAAAGCAGAAGTGTGTATTCATCACATGAAATCTAAATAAAAATGTGTACCGTTATCTACTACCATCTATTCTCAATTAGTAATCCCTGGAAAAGTAGCACTCACTTACACACCCTGGAGAACGAAGAATTCTATGCAGAGTAACGAAGAAAGGAAAAGATTTCCAAGAGAATTTAGTGATTAATCAATCAATCAATAAAAACTGAAGTGCCTACTCTAGGCTCCAAGGAGATATGATATTATTTTTGTTCTTAAGAAACTAATTGGAAAGTTGAGACTAACATGCTCACAAAATTGTCCATAAAGAAAGAAGAAATACCCTTGAGACTATAAGCCCCATAGGAGCAACACCACGTGTAGGGGTCACAGATTTTGGCTATCCCTGGCTGCCAAGAACTGAGGAAAATGCTGAATTCTAATTATGTAAATTCCCAGGAAATTGCACCTGTTTAAAATCC